CGATCATGCCGCACTTAAATTTGATCCTCTCATCTCCTCACCCCGTCCGACATGGTGCCAGGCAATTAACTTTTGAAACAGTCCTTGTACATTTATTTTGGGTTTTCACTTCGATTTCATACAGCTGCCTTTTTTTTTTTAAAGACTTGCTCCTCCTCTGATCATTTTCAAACTAGTGATTTCAAAGCTGACGAGTGGGACTACGCGAGGAAAAAAAAGAATGGGCAGAAGTGATCATAATTGTATCCGAAGACACAGAAATCACAGTCACAGTCATCTTACTTCGGATAGCTTCAATATTTTTTTTTTTTTTGTAAATTGAGGGATTACTTTGATTGGAGGGTGGGTGGGGTTGTTTCTTTTTTACAGCTTATTTCATGTCTACTTTTTTTAAAAAGTGTTAATATTCAATCTTGTTTGCACACTAGTGAGATTTTATTCGGGCCAATAAACTTGCATAGCGTAGTGTCCTCTTTAGCTGTGGACTTCCTTTTACTGGTCCTCTTGAGCCCAGTTCTGAATGTTGTAAGTTGTAAGGGGAACACAGTTTTAGATTGTCAAGATACTCCTTTATTTAATCATCTAGTCCAGTGTTTCCTAACCGTGGCAATATCCAAGTGCGTGGACTTCCACACCCAGAATTCTGTTCAATGGCCACGCTAGCTGTGGAATTCTGGGAGTTGAAGTCCGCTCCCTCAGAAATTGCCATGGTTGAGAAATACCAATCTAGGTATTTGAGGAGATGGTGTATCCCTTGATGCTTCCAAAAATAGCACCTTGTGCAAGATTGAACAAACTCTTTTGAGTTTTGTTAAACTTTCCACCACTTTGTTTTTTAGATTCCCCAGACAAACTGTGCATGGATATCTGCATGCACGCACACACACACACACACACACACACTCATACACACATATACATCCCTCTGGCTGACCTAAATTATGGTAAGTGCTTTTAGAGAATATTTTTTGATTGCTATGCTGCGTACACTTCACAGCAAAGTAGAAGTAATAAACAGAGAAAAATCACTGACCTATAACCACCCTCTGGATTTCTTGGCCAAAAGGAGGTGGAATATCCTGGATTTGCTGTTTTCTCTGACATTTTGACACTTGCTTCCCACCAAAGTTTTAGAAGCCTCAGCCTTATCATGCCGACTTTGTCCAAAAAGGCTCCATCTGCCTGAATTTGGAAATCCATCATCTCTTGATTTTAAACGGGAGGGGGAACACCCAGAAATGAATTAACTGTTGAAAGTTATACTCCCACATTTCCACAAATAACCAAATTATCCCTAAGGACCTGTAATGAACTTTCAATGCGATTTTCAGTAAGTGAAATTCCACAGCTAAATCTTTCAGAGGTGGTACAATGAAGGTCCAGATTTATTACTGTCGCGTAGCATGTTATATTAGCAATTCATTCGAAGCGTCGTTGTGTTTTTGTACATATCAAAATAATTGCTTTTATTGGGTCAGTACAAAGAAGAACCGTTTAGTCTTGTTACGATGGGGGAGGTGGGCTGCATATATGGTGTCAGATGCCAACTGTCTGCCAAACCGAGAAAAATCACAAAGAAGTTGATTGGAAAAGAAACGATTCCCTCGATCCACTGGATCTGTAGCCGAAATGAATTTAATTGAAGCAGGAGTGGAAAAGGTGAAAGAAGAGGAAGTTCCTTCAGACTTGAAGTGAAGATTTCTGTACTCCGAGGAGGCCCAGCATTGTCCCAAGACTCAGGTTCTTTCCTGGTCTCTCTGCGATGTATGTTGTCGTGCCAAATCCGATGTTTTGGAGACGTTACACCTACTCTGCCAAAATTGCTCCATGTGCCACACAGATGACACACCCACATGCCAAAATCAGTGGTGTGGAAAGGTGGAAGCCAAGTGGATTATCACTGAGTGCCAACCAACGTCGGTGAGTTGGGGAAATTTCCCTGGCAGTCAAGGAAGGCTCTTCCAAAAGGGCCCCAAATCTTTTTGACTTCTGTCTGGTTACCTGCATCCGTTCCGTAACCTGAACCACAACTGGAAAGGTGGCTCCATCTAAGAGCCAATCATTTTATTCCAAACAAGCCTGTTTATTCGAGACTGGCCTTTTGTAGATGTCGGAGGGCTGCTCCTCCTAAAATTTCCAGGCAGTGGGATATTTGGTTTTGCCTGGAAACTAGGAAACCAGATTGCACTTCTATCAATCAATTAAAGGAGGCCAAAAGTGTTCCACCCGTAGAATGAGACATGCTGGCGGTATTGGTTAGGGATTTTTAGAGATGTAGTCCATTATCTTTAGAGCAGGGCTCTCCAGACCTGGCAACTTTTAAGACTGGTGGACTTAAACTCCCAGAATTCTTTAGCTAGCCATGCTGGCTGGGGAATTCTGGGAGTTGAAGTTCACAAGTGTAAAAATGGCCAGGTTTTGGAGATCCCTGCTCTAAAAGCTGGCAAAAGCTGTTAACAGCTTCTACGTGACTTGTTAGCAATAGCAATAGCAGTAGACTTATATGCCGCTTCATAGGCCTTTCAGGCCTCTCTAAGCGGTTTACAGAGAGTCAGCATATTGNGTTGAAGTCCAGACATCTTCAAGTTGCCAAGGTTGAGAAACACTGCCTTAGCTGACTTTAAAAAAAATTCTGCTCCCCAAAGCTGTCAGTACTTTATTCTTCCTTCTTTAGAGAATACTTAAGTCCTTTGAACCGTTTCTATAATTTTCTCCCCGTGAATGTTAGTTTACATCTTCTTCTAGGAGAATTTGTACTTCTCTTTCCATCATCCTTCTTTATTCTCATTTTCTGACCCATTTCTCTCTCTTTCCTTCCAAACCTTTTCTTGTGTTTCTAATCAAACATTAGTTTGATTTAAAACAGGAGTGTCCCACCAGCAACTTTGGCTGGCTGGGGAATTCTGGGAGTAAAAGTCTACAAATCTTAAAAGTTCCAAGGTGGGATGTCCCTGCTTTAAAATCTCAAAAATACTCTCTCTTCAGAAAGAGATGCACGTTTTGTATATCCTTTGGGTAAGAATCAGTTCACACCTGTTCTGATCCAGGCTTCCCCAAATCACGAAGCAGACTCCTTGTCCTGACAAAAAACCCTTTTATTAATTGACTGTGAATTCTGCTCATTCACAACCAGCAAAGTCTTTCAAGGGAGGATTTACAGTCACAGACCTTATCTGGCTTGGAGAGCTGAACATGCCTGCAAAACTCAGCAAGGAGTCTCAGAGAGTCACGAACCAATTAAGTAAATGAATTGTTCATATATACATACATACATACATTCAAAGTTATGCAGTTCATTTCCCTGGAACTGGGTGGTATCAGTAGCCTGAATAGCCAGAAGGATGGTGAGGTTAGACCCCAGGAATGTGGGGAGTGCTTAGGTTTCTGCTGCCTTCCAATTCAGTTCAGCTCCATATGCACTTCTACGCCCTCCCTTCCTTCCTTCCTTCCTTCCCTCCCTCCCTCCCTCCTTCCTTCCTTCCTTCCTTCCTTCCTTCCTTCCTTCCTTGCTTCTCCTTTTGAAATACCCTCGATATAGCCAGTTACCTTATTTTACCATTTGTATAATCAACCGCCAAAGGTTTGATGCTAATTTGCCTACAGTTGCCTCTTTTCTTTCTTGATGCGTTTCTTTTTTTTCCCCAAGGAATCGACAAGGAGAACGTGGAACTTTCTCCCACGGCCGCACACTCCAACAGCGGAAGGATCCGCCATGGCTCAGCTAGCCAGGTGCAGAAGCAACGGAGCACCGGCAGTTTCAAGCGCCACAATGTTAAGAAGATGGTGTGAAGCTTCTTCTTTTTTTTAAAGAAAAACAGAAACCTGACTTATTCCCTTTAGCCCCACTTCCCCCTAAACGATCATGCCGCACTTAAATTTGATCCTCTCATCTCCTCACCCCGTCCGACATGGTGCCAGGCAATTAACTTTTGAAACAGTCCTTGTACATTTATTTTGGGTTTTCACTTCGATTTCATACAGCTGCCTTTTTTTTTTAAAGACTTGCTCCTCCTCTGATCATTTTCAAACTAGTGATTTCAAAGCTGACGAGTGGGACTACGCGAGGAAAAAAAAGAATGGGCAGAAGTGATCATAATTGTATCCGAAGACACAGAAATCACAGTCACAGTCATCTTACTTCGGATAGCTTCAATATTTTTTTTTTTTTTGTAAATTGAGGGATTACTTTGATTGGAGGGTGGGTGGGGTTGTTTCTTTTTTACAGCTTATTTCATGTCTACTTTTTTTAAAAAGTGTTAATATTCAATCTTGTTTGCACACTAGTGAGATTTTATTCGGGCCAATAAACTTGCATAGCGTAGTGTCCTCTTTAGCTGTGGACTTCCTTTTACTGGTCCTCTTGAGCCCAGTTCTGAATGTTGTAAGTTGTAAGGGGAACACAGTTTTAGATTGTCAAGATACTCCTTTATTTAATCATCTAGTCCAGTGTTTCCTAACCGTGGCAATATCCAAGTGCGTGGACTTCCACACCCAGAATTCTGTTCAATGGCCACGCTAGCTGTGGAATTCTGGGAGTTGAAGTCCGCTCCCTCAGAAATTGCCATGGTTGAGAAATACCAATCTAGGTATTTGAGGAGATGGTGTATCCCTTGATGCTTCCAAAAATAGCACCTTGTGCAAGATTGAACAAACTCTTTTGAGTTTTGTTAAACTTTCCACCACTTTGTTTTTTAGATTCCCCAGACAAACTGTGCATGGATATCTGCATGCACGCACACACACACACACACACACACACTCATACACACATATACATCCCTCTGGCTGACCTAAATTATGGTAAGTGCTTTTAGAGAATATTTTTTGATTGCTATGCTGCGTACACTTCACAGCAAAGTAGAAGTAATAAACAGAG